ACGAAGTTACGGAAAGTTAATTAACAAACGGAGACGTAACAAATATTCTATATGAAGTAGGTTTTTGATTAGAGATCAGGAAAACATTGTTAGAAAATTAGATTAAAATAGGTACATTTAACGTACCTTTCAATGAATTGAAGGCTTCAGTACTAATAAACTTAAAATTTATAATTTTACTTCTACAATGAACACAGCACATGAAACTGTACAAAATATTTTTTACAGCATTTCACATTAAATCCTTATTCAGTCTAGACTATACAAGTGTGGGGAAAAGTTCTCAATACAGATCAGCTATTAAAATGTAAAGTGCAAGTGAATACAAGCTTAAAAACAACTCAGTAATAGAGTCTGAAATTATATTTCCAATGGTCCTAACTTCAAAATATTTGTACATTGTGTATTTGTAACAGATGTTATTTCTCTATTTTTGTCTTCCATTTTATGATTATACTTTTCAGTTCTCATTACTTTTTTTTCAACTTTATCATGTTTAATTTCATGGCTATTTCATATGTAATTAACTGTGCATAAAATGTGTTAAAATTATCAACACAATTGTTTATAATATTTTCAATACTAACAGGAATTAATGAACTTATATTAAAACAAGATAAAATTCAGTTTTGTCAAGATAAAGAATAAAACTATTACTGTATCTTTGGAATTATTATGATATAGATACTATGTAATATGTGCATACAGTACAATATAGTGAAGTTGGGTTTTTATTATTTATGTGTCAGTCACTGTTAACTATATTTAACACAAGTTGTGTGTAAAACATAATGTACTAGCAACTTAAGTTTGTATTTCATGATCAAAATATGTAGTTTTTCTTCTGCAACATTATACCATTCATTATTTGTTATAAACTTAGGGAACTATATGCATGTAGCACATTTATTAAAATATTTTGTTTCCCTGAGCATGATCTCACCTCTGAAAATTCACACATAAACAACAATAGTCATCAAGTACCAAAGTGACCATAATTTCTTTTAAAAAAAATCACGTGTAGGAAAAAAAAAGGTGAATGAGTTGGTTGAAATACATGTCTACTCGGGATGTCTGAAATAAGGTTGGCAATGAAGAAAGCTTGGGAATCACTTATTTAAGTTTCTTTTTTAGTTATTGTTACTGTTATTGATAATAATAATAGTACTAATGTTAAAAATAAACAACTGAAAGGAGAAAGAGCAGTTTCATACAGGGTGGAGCAACTGTTATTATACAATTGGCACTGTACACTTGAAAGACATTGTCAATGGACTGCATCTGTCTAGAAAAGTTTTTAAGGACAGTTTCATCTACTACTACAAATCCCCCCCCCAAAAAAATTATTCAAAATCTGAGATTTTAAGAGTTTAATATTGTTCAGGAGAGCAGCCGTAGTTTTGAGTTGGAAACAAAATTGGATTCATAATGTGGCCATAGGGGAAAATTTTCAGTCAGGAGGTGTTGTGATGTCACAATAGTTGACATGGAATTCAGGCTATATGGACATATTTTATGGTCTTGGAACAGGAAAGAGGTTTGAATTTTGTTAACGTCTCAGCATTGAACCTTGTTGAGAGCTAGTTGATAAGTTTGATATAGAATGCTTTTTCAGTTTCTCAGTGTCTATTGTTTGTAGTTGGTTCAAGTTGATGATGTGATTTGTGTTGTAATTGTGTTCAGCTAAGGCAGATTTGTTTCTGGTTCTTTTGACTCTTAATAGTTCTATCTGTTTTTCATGTTTTTTGGGGTTTTTTTTACAGGAAAAAGGTATTTTGTAGGTTGTGTTGATCAGATCATTTACTTAATGGATTGTTTATTATTTTTTGCTACAACAATTCTTAATGTCTTGCTGGATTTGAAATAGACTTTGATATCAAACTTTTCAAAAAAGTATTATGACTTTATAACTTACTCTGGGGATAAAAAGCAGAATTGTGGTCTTATATGTGTTGAGTCTGTGGATTTTGAAGTGATTGATTTTCTTTTCTCTTGTGTGATTGGATGAAACTAATGGGTTAGCCATTTGATTGTGAGATTTGTACATATATTCTTTTTTTTTTAAGCAGGAGTTTGTTGCAGTTGCAAATCTTGGAGGCCCAGTTTAATATGCAATTTAAAAATGCTTCTTTTAACAGAATGTGGGTGGTTGGATTTATAATTTTGATATTTGTTGGTAAGAAGATTTTTCTGTGTACAGAAGTTATGAGGCAATGACTTAGTCTGTAGAAATGAATGTTTAGGAATGGGAATAGAATTTTTTTTTCAATTTCCAGAAAAATTGAGATATTTTGGAAATTTTAATAATTCTAAAGGTGTTGTCAATGTATCTTTTTTCATAAGCGGAGTTTAAAGCTCTGGCTTCAAATTATTTCTATAGTTGTTGCTGAGGGTGAGTGAGAGAGGGAAGCCCATATAAAAAGAAAGCATTGTGGAATTGAAAGTAATTGTTTGTGGGGTGTGACAATAGCTCTATGGTGGAAATAACACAATGTAGATTGAAGCTATAGAATGGTGTCTTTAATCAGTTTCCTTTTTATTATAGATAGAATAAAGTTGCTGGGGATATTGGGGAACATATTTACAATGTCTAAGCTGAAAGACATAGCCACCTCCTCTCGAAAATTGCCATATTCAATAACCATGCCATCTTCATTTTGAGATGCAGTTATCTTCAACTCTCTCCACTGAATTCTCAACTTAAACCTCTTATTGGTTGTTGAAGAAATATTAAACTTCAGATTCATATGAATTAACTAATCTATTATTCTCTTCTTGATTGTTTTGATTTTGTGGTATGTGTGGTATTAAGTGTTGTATATAGACTGCACATAACATTTACAGATAGACATGTCAATTAATAATGTGGGTAACTCAACATTTTAGGCACCTTATATCTGTTTCTAAGATAGTGTTATAATAGCAAGTGTCCTTTATAAGATTTGATACTATTATATGTATTGAAAAGTGGCAATCATTTCTACTATTATAATGCAAGTTTCAATAGTCATTTGTAGTAATGATGTTCCACTTGACTGTAAGGAGTTTCAGAAACCACTTTTACAATAGTTCATATACACACATTTAATATAGAATGTATGACAACTGTTTGTTAATTCTATGGAAGTATGAGATTTATTTGACAATAGTTAGCAATAAATTAAATTGTCCAGGAACGTTTTCATGTAGTAACACTTGGGCAAGAAGCTTTATATGCATCTTAATGCAGGAAGGAACTAACTCGAGTAGATAGGGCATATCTTATTCAACATATTACAACAGGCTCTGAAAATGTTGTGCAAAAATGATTTTAAACACAACTATTAACATAAAGAAGAGAATATTTATAGAACAATAAATATATTGCCTAGATTCAATGTTCATTGATGAAGCGGGAGTACGAAACATTTCAATCGGACAAAAACAGAAATTAGAGCCATCATAATACCACATTTTTTAAAGTCAAACAAGTTCTTGTGTGATATCCCATAATTATAAATTACCGACGTGAATTACTGTTCTCATTATAAATCAAGAGAGGTAAACTTCCAAGGCATACTAGTCACTGTTGAAATGAATATGACTTCACTTCAGGTTGGCACGACGCAAAATCAAGTTCAAGCAAGTGTAATCCTTACAAAATAATTGCTATGTTATCTACATACACTTTGTTTAAGTGAGAGTAGTTGTGGAAGTTTACAACTCTTGTGAAGTGGTCTAACCTCAATATCTACATGCTCAGTGCGTGTGTTTTTCTTATAGCAAAACCACATCAGACTATCTGCTGTATCCACTGAGGGGAATTGAACCCCTGATTTTAGCATTGCAAATCCGTAGACTTACTGTTGTCCCAATGAGGAACATATACTCAGTACCTGCACGAAAGTTTAGAAACAAACTATATATTATATATATTTGTAATAGGTATGAAAGAGTGCAATTTAATTAAATTTTCAGTCTTCACCCCATTTCAATGTCTTCCTGAGGCTGAATATTCAAAATAAATGTTAAAAATACAGAAATTCCAAGTTAACTAACAAGGTCATAATGTGATGTGTAAAACAGTTTCATAAAGGTTCACCAATATCTTTACCTCTCTAACATATTAAGCATGTATAACAAGCTGATGATCTGCATTGGTAGAAGTTGACCTTAATCTTGTGCTAGTTTATGGAGAAACCTTGAATTTAATTTTTCCATTGGTAAATCACTGGCTTTCTTAAGGCTGAACCTTAAAATTAAACGTTAAAGACAGAATTTGCACCAGGAAGTTCATAATGTGTTATGTATGGCATACCAGTTTACAAAGGTGAATATTATATTGTTATTGCATGTAAGGTCCAATGTTTAGTGCTAGTTTTTTGTACTAATATCCATATTTGATTCCTGATTGATATACTGGATTTATGATTATGAAGGAGTCCTACTTCTTAAGAGTGTACACTGAAATACATTAGTAACAGCATAAAGAGAATCTTGGTAAATAGAATTTTAGTTGAAAACTCTTGATTCATCTAAA